CGAATTTCTAATCAAATTAACTTATGTCTTGACTTTCAGCCGCTTTTTACGTTTCCTTCATCTGAATGTTTATCTTATCATTTCCAGCGTTAAAATAAATGTGAATGTTTAAACTACTATTACCGCTGGTACGGAAACACGTACGGGATATGCCTATAACAATGAATAAGTATGATATCGGTTGGAAATAATAGTATGATTCTAATCTGGCGATAACTGGCAACTATTTGTAACCGTAATCAGATGCCATCCACCTCCTTCCCGCAGCGCGCTCACAAATTCAAAGGGAGCATTTACATAATTCACTAATTACTTGAGCGTTAAGTAAGATAAGTTACTAGAATCCGGCTTTAATACTTTCATACCAACCTATTGAATACTTTAAAATCTTTGCGACCAGCTTCACTTTTGGCAGGCAAGCAAGTGGCCATTGAAGTAAAAGGAAGGGCAGACTCCAATGCGAATTGTGAATTGAACTTGAAAGAAAAAAAAGTTATCCATCTGAGGGAAAGTACATTTGTTTTAAGGGTTCATTGGAAATTCAAGGCCAGGGCCAAGGTGGTCACTGCAGAACAAAAAGCCAAACCCAAGAGCAATTCAGAGTCAGCCTCCTAATTAAAGCATGTAACAAACGTGCATTTGGACGTAAATAAACATATCTGAAAAAACGAGTGATCAATCAAACGACAATTTTAAGGTTTGGCCGCGAATAAAAAGACTTACAGGGCACGTCCAATATAAATCAGCGTGTTCACCATAAAGATTCAAAGCCGTCTGAACTAATCACATATTTCTATTTATTGCTAGGTAAAAAAAAAAGCAAGCAAAATCGAGGGCCCGCAAGTTTTAACATTTTACAAGCATTTACCTGCGGTGGACAACGAGGTCACTTCCTTAACGACCTGGAGAATGAAACACCTTATTCTCAAACACTATCTCCTCACATGAAACATTTAAAATATTTATATAGAGAAGCATATATTTATTATATACTCTAGGTAAAGCACATTTATTTATATTAATGGCTTCTGTATGGCTCGTACTGATCATATTACGCAAAGTTTGAGCAATAACTACGCTGTTCACACTCAGCACCGGCATATAGCACACTGCGTCGGCAGACTTGTGTATCATGGTTGCACAAGCAAAATTTATCATGCCAAGCATTAATTCGAACTATGAAGGGCGTTTAGAAACGCAGTCAAAACTTTTCAATTATAAACGCACAATAAAGAAGCAAACTGATTCTTCTGACCATGCATCGGATCATCGGCGTAGAAACATTAAGATTCCATGACTGATAGCAGGTAGCAAATAAGTTTTCTCAAATCAATAATACGTTATATGATCATGTTATCAGTAAACCTTGGCGGAAAAATGGAGAGCGATCGCTTGTGACAAGTGATGCCATTTTTAAGCATAGCGATAGAATGAGCGTCGATTGACTTGTGAATCATGGCTCCACAGACAAAATTAATTATTCCAAAATTCTTTCTCGCTTGGCGGTGCGTTCAGAAACGCAGATGACACATTTCCATTCTCAACGCACATGAAGAAGCAAGTGACGTCCACTGGCCATGCATCAGATCACCAGCGAAGAGACATCGAGCTTAAATGGCTGATTGCAGGTAGCAAGTCTGCCTGATTGAGAAAAACCATTAACTGGAGTGCTATTTGAGCCTCAGCCTATTGGAAGACTTATTCCGTGACAACACTGACAACATGAATTATTCAGAGCATTTTGCCGTGTTGTATGGAGAATTCACAGGCCTACTGAACACCTATTCTTCTTCAGCTCATCGTAATTCAGCAAGCTTCTTCATCACAACAAACTTCGGATAACGGGCAGAACCGAATTAACCTTGTATGACTGATTTTTAGTTTTGAATAAGCTATCAATGGTGCTATGAAGTACAAAGCTAGAATAAAAAAATAGTGCTGATGAAATTATCATCAATTTGTACTATAATATGAAAGGTTTTCCAAACTCATGCATATAGGCAGTGATGTTCGCCGTTCGTACTCATTGATGATTGTTTATATTAAATTATTAAGGTTAGCCCTATAATAATACCGATGGATAATGTAATCAGTAAGCATGGATGGCAGCTAAATATAAGTCTTTTGAAGGTGTTGGACTTGCAATGTCTAACCTGTAATGTTTCGTAAAGATTTATAATTTGCCGATATATGTATCTATTCCTTTGGAGATCTTTACTGGGTGAGCGAGAGGAAAGGGTACAGTATGTTTATATGAGTATATGTATTAGCATTACCCACAGCGAAGCAGTAGATAAGGGTCATGAGTGCAGAGCTTGGGTTGGTGCTTATTGGAGCGCCATGTGAGCCTCAGCCTATAGGAAGACTTATTCCGTGACAACACAGACAACATGAATAATTCAGAGCATTTTCCCGTTGTGTGTGGATAATTCACAGGCCTAGTTAACGCCTACTATTCTTCAGCTCATTGTAATATACCAAGCATCTTCGTCAGAACTAACTTCGTTAACGGGCATTAACAAATTAACCTTGCATGACTGATTTGTATTTTCGAATAAGCTAATGCTATGCTAATTTCGATGTGCTATGAAGTACATATACAGAATACAAAATAGTGCGTTTGAAATGATCATCAATTTGCACTAAATACAAGTAAGAGGCTTTCCAAACTCATGCGTATTATCAGTGATGTTCACGTTTGGACTCATGGAAGATTGTTTGTATGAGAGTTAGCCCTACAATAATACAGACGGTGAACAGTGAACATGAATAGTTGTCGAATAGTTACCCACACTTGATACCCAAATTACGTATTGAGCTATGATGGTCCGGTAATTAATAAATTCTTTGCGATGGGTTACTGGGTTACCGTACGGAAAGGTAACATGTAGGTGTGCTTCAACATTGCCCAGAGGGAAGCACGAAGTTAGAGTCATGAGTGTAGAGCTTGGGTTAGTGCTTAATATGCAGGCTTTGATACCTGATTTATATCGAGACCCGCGCTTTGTTTACCGTTAAATAGAATAGGACGAAACCATGCTTAGAAATGTAAATAAAATTTTGGATAACTATTGTATATATATGCAAGTCGTTGATTTGTTGTTATGTATCGATCAACGTGGAAATTCTGTTCTAGTGTTGTCTTTCTTGCCTGTTCACTGAAACAGTGAGTTAACATTTGAACGCTTGAAAAATTCCACCAAGTGGCTGAAAGTAACTCTGGCACTCAAGATTACAGTAGAAGATTGCATGAACGGTCCCAAGTCTTATTCCTCGTCACAGGAGCACCATGCTACGAGAGCAAGATTAAAAAACATGAAGCATTCATACCATCAGGTATATTTTTAGAATAATTTAAACTTCTCATGATAATTTATATTTTTATACTTGACGGTAAGTCATAGGCAACGGGCCAAGCTCTGGTACGTATGTATAGCGTTGACAACGGTTTATGTATCCTACATGACGGTAAGTCTAGGCAACGGTCCAAGCTTTTGGTACGTATAGCGTTGACAACGGTTCATGTATCCTACATGATGGTAAGTCTAGGCAACGGGCCAAGCTCTTGGTAGGTATAGCGTTGACAACGGTTCATGTATCCTACATGACGGTAAGTCTAGGCTACTTTACAAATATCTGATCCGTCGCTGAAACATGCGCCTCAGAAAGTTATATTGGTTATGTGCGTCGTCAATATATTCGCATTTCTTCAAAATTTCCATGGATTGATTTCCTCTCTGTTTCTTAGCGTAAACAATTATTCTGACAACAAAACTGCTTCTGAATTGCCTCGCAAGTTTACGCATATATGCACGATGTCCGCAGCTAATACATTATATTTGATGTCAAATTTCAGGAGAAATTTGTCTTCTTTTTTCTATATACAGGTGTCAGTTGGACGCTGAAATGAATGTCCAGAAACTGCACAAATATGCCATTGAGAACTTACCCGTAGTTATGGTATCGGGCCACAAGCTATTACAAGCTCTCCCGTTAACTTTCCACAGCTCACCGTGTAAATGAATAAAACACACATTTGAATATTTTATCTTAAGAACCCTGATGATTAATGGCTTTGGTTGTTAAAATTACAACATTCTTTCGTATTTGATTTTCTACTATGAGTTTCATTCATGTAGTAATCATGACTGCCTGGGCTTCAATTTTGAAGGGTCTGCATGGAAGTCAATGTGGCGAATGGTATACATATATAGGGCTTGCTATACAATGGAATAAACCCAGGTTCTATATAAGACGGCGATGGTTTAGAATGGTTTATTTACACATGACGGACAATGAAGTACAGACACTCATATGAATGACGAGAATGATGTAACCCAGAGTTGCTGCCCAGCGACTCTCCTAATGAAATGCAGAGATTATTTGAACAGCTCGTCATACTCTAAAAAAAATAGAAAAAAGTTGAAAAGCTCTAAATTAGAATGCAAGAAGCCTGCCATTACAGGTTGATGACTGCGTGGGTTGTCCTCAACCTTCCCGTGACCTCCATATTGTTGGTTAATGTTTATGAATATAAAATTACTCGCTTTAGGAAATTCCTTGCATTGACATAACAGCTGCGCTGAACTCTTAGCCGTGATTTGCGATACTTTGGTGCGAGTCTAAACTTTAAGGCGTTGCACGCGAGAAAGCGTGGACTTTGTAATTGTGCGCCACTGAAATACAATCTTTAAGGAAATTTAAAATGTGATAAATTAAAAAGCGTATTCTTATGCACGCCAGCTATTGGATACACGATATCTGAGTCATAACAGACCACGTGGCTTCTATATTATCGTAATGAGATGGACAAAAGGCGTAGCGCTCAATCTTGGTTTTCTTCCCCCGTTCACTTACCCTATCGCCGTTCAAGTAATATTTGGGATCAAAAATATTTAAACCTAAGGAATTTGCAACAACTGCTAGGCTTAATACAAAAAACGATAAACAGATTGAACTTTTATTGAGGAACTTGATCCCATAGATGACTGGTCCCGCAAGCTTGAGGAATCAAGACGCATTTTCAGAAATTAGGAAGGAACCAAGTCCCAAAAAATAACGCTTGCTAGCTGGTTCATACAGGCTCGCCGACGTTACACAGACGAACAAGCCCGGCCCAACATAACTGTGGAATCGAGAAATAACCTTCAAATATATAATTAAGTAAAACCGTATAATTAGTTCAATGTTTCAACAAGATTCAATAAATTCGCACATGGAAGCAATAAATTTACCAACCCAGAACATCCAGAAGGATCTTTAAATTCTAAGCCAGGTGCAGATGACGGTTCCAAAAAGATCGCAAATACGTATCCCACCAGACTCGCAGTTATTCTATTAAACAAAAAAAAGGTATGGCTGTAAAATAAATGGTAACGATAACATACACTCAGTACGAGCCTAAATGTATGTCGCACTATGTCAGAATAGCATCAGCCCGCACCAACCTTAAAATCTTTTGCCAGCAAGCGGACTTGGCTCTAATTTTAAGAGGCAATTTAAGAAGCCATATTAAGGGAAATAATGAAAGTAGAAGAAAGAGAGGGCAGACTCCAAAATCAAAAAGTAAATTAAGCTTAGGAAAGCATCAAGCTTTCCCCAATAGGTTATGAATAAATATTAAAGTTATTACAGTAAAAGCCGAAGCTCAAAGTTAAGGTGGTCGAGTCACAAGAAAAGGCCAAGCCCAAATTTAGCACTGGAGTCCGCCCTTTCCTAGCCAAAGAAAGCGCGAACATGCATTATTAACGTAAATAAATAAAAGGAAAAACAAAGAGTGATCACTCAAAATAATATATAGCAATTAAGAAGGAATGGCGTTATACACTCCTAACGGAGCAACATTAATGTGATGTTTACACCACCATGCACGTCTTACAGCCAACCTTTACTATTTACAAATTCAAACCCACCAAAAGGTATGAAGCAAACGAACAAATTTATATCCTAAGGAATGTGGAAATTTTTAACACAACGTCTAGTTGTTGATAGATTTCGTCGAGTCCGACCCGTACCTACTGAACACTAGGTAAGAAATTATCGTTGTCAGGGGTAATTGTATCTAACTGAACTATTCTTACATAATAGCCATGAAAAGACACATCATATCAATTCACGTTTACACATGTTTGCACGAAAATTTTCGCTCATATACTTCATTTTATTCCAGGAAAACATTATTTAGGATAATATTTCTTTGATGATTATGTAGATCTACGGGGAATAACATATATATGCGAGAACTCGAGATTGTGCCATGAGGCTTCCACGTATTTGTGCTTGCAGGTACGAACTTATCAAGTTTCAACATGTTAACAATTTATGATTTAGGATAAACATTTATCATGCAGCAAGAAACTTGCAAAATTAAGATTATATAATAAAAATAACACACGTTTATGTTAATCTAGCTGAATTTTGTCCCAAAGATACGCAGTTTTTTTTTCGTTAATAAAAAATTCGTCAGCGATCACTGACAAATTATAAAGCACATTTAAAGTCGCAAGGGAGTTCAGCTGCACTGGGAAATAAAATTTATTATCCGCACAGCTAGCAACCAAAATTATTTTTTTATTGTTATTTACCTTCTTCTGTGACTATCCATGAGGAATGCATAGTCGTGATTCTTGTTGCTTGTGTTTAAGTTGGTATTCACGTAAGGACGCTGGAAATATTGCTGGCATATTGTCCTGAGAGCGCCGTTGATGTCCCGGCACTCGTCGCGCGTGAAGCATTTGGTGCACATCATAAACTGGCCGTCATGAAGGAGGCTTTAAACGAAACAGGTGCGTTCTCATTCATCAAAAGATTGGTGTTCATAAACAAGCTTTGAAGTTGTAGAGCTAATTTGTCCAGCCCGTCGTAAAACTGTATTGAAGTAGAACGCAGCAAGCCCACCATTACTGGTTGATGGTTGGCTGGGTTATCCGCAACCTCACTTTGACGCCTAGACTGTTGATATCAATTGGTAATTATGATATTGCTTCCTTGTAAACGAAAGCTGCCAATTAAAGATGCACGACAGTTTTAGGTTGCAATATTTCGAGTTTACTTCTCAAAAAAAAAACATTTACTTCCTTATTACATAAAAATTTGGGATCATGAAAGATTAAAATTGCTCATTTAATAAATTTGTAAGAAGTAGGCATGCTAGCAGAGCGGTAGAATTCTTTTCCTCACTAAATCGTGCCAAACGACCTGTTCGCTACGCTAGGGCTTATAAACCAGTTGCGCATTTTTCATGGCGACAAAATTAAGTAGCGCCCCTCCAAGAAGGGTGAAGGTCTGGAGACTACATTACGTAATGTATTTTAGATATACAAATGAATGAAATAACTGGAGTTTCTCCATGTTTCAACGTTCAAGGTCAGTTTTGATAGTATAAATATGTAAATAATCTATATTGAGTGGTAGTTCCCCAATATTTGACAATTCATAACGATACTTGAGGCAATTGCACTGATAACTTTATAAAACCAAGGCTAATTGGTAACTCCTTTAAATTATAGAGAACAGGCAAATGTGCTAAAAAATGAGTTACGGGGTAACTGGAGGAAATATTGCTACATGGACGCTATACATGTGTGAGGAGCGTATCATTGCGAATTACAAAATGAACACGTGCTCCAGCGAACACCTAATAGCTAGATGAGTCCTATTTGACATTGACTGCCCCTCCTGAAAAATTTACACCGATACTCAGAAGCTTTCACCTTGCCGACAATAATCGGGGGCTTTAGGTCGCACTTCCTGAGTACCATCTCCCCAGCAAATGGAAATAATTTCAAGATAAGATTTAAAAACTCTAGTGTCGTCAATATTTCTTGATTTATATATTATATTGTTAAAGAGATTCAATATCATTTATGATATTCAACTCTAATTATATTCCTGCAAATCTTTCGAAAAACGTTGTATGCCTTGACCAAGTTTCGCTTAAAATAATGAAGATCAATAAAATACTGCACTATCACGTGCGACTGCCGCCAACTTCAAATTATATTTCATTGAAAAAAATTTCAAAAGAATTTTAGTGGTGGCAATATTTGGCTTCATCGTAAAAAATGACCCAAAACTCATATAAAAAATTCTGCCAAAATGCTTATAATATAGTAAAGTCATCATCCTAAAAAATTAATGACGAGGTAATATCGTAGGAGCAATAATAATAATAACATAAAGTAATATTACTGAGAGGAGATAATTCTTCAGTTCTATTATATGAATTCGGGACCTGGCGTGCGGATGTGAAAGTGTAGGGCAGAGAATTCACCCGAGCAACTTATCCGGGCGGGAGCGGCTATAGAATCTGTACTGTGAACTCCGCCCGCTGAACCGCGAGCCGTTGAGCCATAATGTCTTGACGGTAATCCCAATCAAAGAACTAAATGGGTCATATTGACCCAATAAAGACACATATTCTAACCCACAACACGAGAAGAAATTAAGTGGACACGGCAAACGCTCTGCTGCCGGGCCAAACTTGGCAGGCTGGCCCATGCAAGAGCACAGAGTGCATCGCTATTTGGATAAAGCTTCAGACATTTTTTTGAGTGTCAACGCTCGCAGGGAAGAGACGTTCGTGTGTCATTAAGCATGACATCACTTAAGCATGACATCACTTAAGCATGACATCACCTAATATGAGATCATCTTGATAGCAATCTAACAGTCAAGATTACTGAACTGATATTTAGATAGTGTGTTAAAGGTTCATTTTGTAAGCTCAAAATTAAAAAGTTATCTGAACCTGAGAAAGGCTTTTTTCCCGCATCTTCATTCACTGAAAACTTTTCCCAACTTTAACGTTACATCAGGAATTTTGACTCCGAAAATGAAATCCTGATTACCCAGACATTACCTTGGTGTAGAGATATAATTCCTTCATTAGAATTATGAAGGAATTATAATTCCTTCATAATTCTAATTTAACAATTCCTTCATTGGCGCTTGTCGCTATAACTTATGGCTTCTTAGTCATAGCACAACATAACATAACATAGCTAGTGATCTCGGCGCAGAAGTGTAGGCCTGATGTCTCATCACAATAATATAGAAGCCATATAATATTGTGATGAGGCAGTTTAATCAATGTTTATGAAATATGCATAACCTTATGAGGCAAGTCACCAGAAGTTATGTCTGAACGTCGTGATTTCAGAATAAATCAGTTGGTGATGCAATCATTTTTTGTGCCACGCAAACCTCTAACGTAGTGTTCAGTAGCTATGGGTCGTAAAGGAGTCATTTCTATGGCAAATTCCCATTAGGCGGCAGGGCAAAATGTCTGTAAGCCTTTCGCCTGACACTTAATAATAACGTAGAAGTCACGTGACCAGCTGTGACTCGGTTACCGAGTTTTCCCAGGCAGACGCGCCTCAGTACCTCAGAATACGCCGTTCAAAATGCTCACACGTAAATTCACTCCATGACTATTTCAATGGCTTACAACTTGCGACGTACACGCTTTCTCGCGCCCAAAACTAAAAAATTAGACTTGCATCAAAGAATTTCAAGTAACGACCATTGTCCAATATACAAAGTATGGACAATATTCCACAAGGAAATAAGTACAAATGCAATATACGAGCGACATTTGACATATGCCCAAATTTGTGAAGCATACGGTACGATATCGTGCTGTAGAAAATTACATATTTGTACATCTTTTGTAGTGGGTTTTAGAGGGTATAAACGACACATATGTGGAAAAATGATATGAAAAGGTTGATGCGGTATAAATATTATGATAAATTGCATAACAAACATGTCTTTCTCAGGCACAAAAATAAGAAACGAGTCTGATATTTGTGTCATTTTCGCGCGGTTTCCGTGTCATCAATTGAATGCATTCATAGGAAATAACGATGAATAGAAACCAATCCCAGGATTTATTCCAACAATATTTCCAGCGTCCTTACGTGAATACCAACTTGAACACAAGCAACAAAAATCACGACTATGCATTCGTCATGGATAGTCACAAAAGAAGGTAACTAACGACAAAAAATATACCTCAGTACTCACTGTAGTGAGTGACAGAAAGCGCATTTTCTCGCCGACGAAAATTTGAAGTCACGGACGGACAGACGGACGGACGGACATGGCGAGCACAACAGTGCATTTTTTCCATAAATGAGCAAATGCGCTAAAAAGAAGTAATTTCGGTTGTTAGCTGTACGGGTAATAAAGTTTATTTCCCGGTGCATCTGAACTCCCCTAAGACTTTAAATTTGCCGTTAAATTCATCAGTGATTGCTAAAGAATTGTTTAGTGACTAAAGAAAATCTACGTACCGAAAGACCAAATTCAGCTAGATTAAAAAATCTCTTAAAAACCTTTCATTGAATAATCAGAGTATTGCAAGTTTTCAGCCATATGCCGATTGTTTATCCTAAATCATAACTTGTAAACTTGTTCTAACTTGATTATTTCGTTCACAAATTCGCGGAAGCTTTGTGGGATATTTTACA